AGTAGCAGTATTATCATTTTTTTATATACTACGTTACTTATCTTCCTCTATTCCCACTTCATGTACTACTTACTTTTTAACTTATGCAGTAGCTCGCCCATGGTGGAAACTCTGTTCTACCTAAGCGATTTCCAGTCACTGAGTGGTCGAAAGTGAATGCTTCCACCAAATACGAATACTCAAAATCTTTCTGAAAGCACGTTAGCATTCAAACTGGCCTCCTTCAACGTTGTGTGTTTGACAGGTATTGTAGTGCTAGCTGGAGACATGAATGCTCAGGTCGGGCGTCTAGGCACAGAAGAGAGTCGTTTGGGTGGCTGATGAGGACTTGTTGGTCACAAGTCAGATAGAGGTGACTGTCTACTGCAATTAGACGCAGACCACAGCCTGTTTCTGGCTATCACTAACTAACGGCACAGTCATCGCCGATGTGCTACCTGGCGTCCTCCCTCTGCATCTCAAGCCTGGACTCAGATTGATTACATCGCGATCAGCTACCACTGGCAAGGTTGTATACAAGACTGCCACTCCTTTTGGAGTGCCTATCTGGACTCTGATTATACCCTTATTTGCACTAATCTTACCTTACTTTTCAGTGGCCAACAAATTCATCGTCCTAAACGGACCGATTACAGTGAATTGGTTGTAGCCTCTGTTGCAACTAAATATCAAACCGAGCTAGGTTCAATGCTAGTTAATATTTCACCGAAAAGTATAGACGAGCATTAGTTGAAATCGCATGCCGCCATGAAAGTGGAGAGCAAAGTTGCTTGCGGCTTTGCGGAACGTCCCGCTTGAAAGCACTGGGTTTCTTCAGGCTCCTCAGATCTCATTGAAGCCAGTCGGTTCACTCCGGGTGACCGTACGTTTGACCACAACTGAAGGTTCTTACGTAATGAAATTTGGCAAAGCTTGCATAAAGAATGAGAAGCCTGGTGGTCGGAGCGCGCTAATGAGGTGGAAGCGGCGGCTGAATCTGGTAACTGCCGAAAGCTCTTCTTACTTATCTGAGCCAGTGGTGACGAAGAGATACCAATCACTAACATCCATCGACGTCTTGGACGATGGGCAGAATTCTTTGAAAGGTAGTTCAACTGGTCTGCTGTCCCGGCAACATCGATCAGACTGTCCTGCCCTCCATGGCCTGAGGTGACTAATCCACCAAATAAGGCGTAAGTCCACAAGGAACTCCAACTCTTGGAGCGCCAAAAATCACCGGCCTCAGATGACTTACCTCCGGCTCTTTTTAAGGATGGTGGTGACTGACTGAGCTGTTTACAAAGGTCTGATATTTAGAGTATCCCAACATCATGGAATAATTCGATAATTGTCCTCATGTTTAAAAAGGGTTCTAGTGGATTTTGTAACAACTATCGGAGAATAAGTCTACTTCCGCTTGAGTCCAGACTATTGGCATCCATCCTACTTCGTAGATTGTCCAGAACCCAGGAAAAATTGACTCGTGAGGAGCAGGCTGGTTTCCGTTCTGGTTGAGGATGTATTGACCATGTCTTCATCCTCCGCCAAATGTTAGAACACTGTCATACTTATCACAAGCCAACAATCGTAGTGTTTCTTGACATCAGAGCTGCCTTCAATTCGTTGGACAGGACTATCCTCTGAAATCGTCTATTGAAGAAGGGTGCTTCTGAGGAGTTTATTAACATCTTAAATGTCCTATATACGAACACTTCAGGCAGAATGATGACATACAACCACCTCTATTCATTGTTCCATTCAAGCAGTGGAGTACATTTTTGTTTCCACCATTATTATTCTTAATATTACACCAACTTACAGTAATGTGTGGTTGTTATCGTTCTTCTCTTCTTTTTTTTCTTATATTCACCTTACCTTCTTTTTCTCTTCCTATTCTCATTGTTTTGTGTGGCGGATATATATCAGGTTCCCCCTTGTACCAATATTTATGTGTTCAAATAAATAAACAATAAATTTGGAATTTTTGGCTACTTAGTTTGCATAACATAAAGTACCATAAATGACCAACAAAGCTCTCATTATCTTTCTATGAAAATTATTAACACAAATATTTTTAAAAAAAAAACAAAGTTGCTTCCAGGTTTTCTATGGTGATCTAGCTTCAATTGACTCATGGTTTCAACTATATAGAGTTACTAAAATCTCAACAAAACCCCCTTTTGTAGAGATTTTGCTTAAATATCAAACAAGTTGATTTGAATAGTCTTTCCTATCACACTGATTAAAAATATTTGTCAGTCGTTTCATTACTTTAATTCTACAGCTGTCTTGTACATTACTAACTGAACCGTTTCGATGTTTTGTTCATGTTTCCAAATTTTCAATAACTTTTTCTTTGAGTAAAGTTTATGAGAAGAGTAATTGCTTATTCGGTAAGCTAACGTTCGTAAGGATAGATCACGTTGTAACAGAAGGAATACACTGAAAAGCATCTCAAAGTGTTCCAGGTGACAGTATTCGTAAAAGCCATTGCATACGCTTGTAAGAATATAAAGAAAAACCTCCTCATGTTTCTTCCTTTTCTTTGTTTCTTTGCTCTTTATGCTTACTGCTTCTTCTGTTGTTGATTATACCTAAATATCTTTTACTTTCGGTTTATTTGTAATCATTATCACTACATTGTTTACAAACACTGAATCGTAAGTAAATCCCTAATGCTGTTTAGTACTTTAATAACTGTTTTACCTTGATTTTACTTAACATCGTATTTTAGAGGTTTTCGTGTTGAGTTTCTCTAAATCGGTAGTTGTCTCGTGAACAGATAGCTTCTGTTTCATATTGTTGACATTGAAGCAATTGATTAGGAACGTCGTTTCGATGTTTTGTTCATGTTTTCAAATTTTCAATATCTTTTTCTTTGAGTAAAGTTAATGAAAACAGTAATTCCGAATTCAGTTTTCTTTGTTACTTTATTGTAAATTCCATCTTATGTAAACGTGTTCGGATTAAATGATATTTTATGAATAACCAAATATTTGCTACATTCACAATGAGCTGATTCTTTTTTAAAAAAAAACAGATAATGATGAATAGATATAAGTTTGGTATCAAGAAAACAGAATAGAACACATTTCTAACATTACTTATCTTTTCTTTTCTGATTTAATGTGAACCTAAATAAACTAGTTTTGAAGATTAAATCCACTTAGTATTACTTGTTTGAATCATCTTATTGATGTTTAGGAATGCAACTGGTCAGTCTCTTATTGGCATATGTGCATACTGTGTGTATTGCCTCGATATAGCCTCAATCCACAAGAATTGTAAGCAAAGATGGATGCTAATAAGAGACTGACCAGTTGTAGTCCTAAATATCAATAAGAGGAGATTCAAACAAACAACACTAAGTGAGTTTAAACTTTACCACATTGCACAAGCAAGTGGCTATCAGGACTCAGTAGCTGAGTGAATAACGCGACGGCGTTTGAAGAGAACGGTACTGTGTTCGAGTCCCAGAGTGAACACTAGCTCTAAGACGCAGGTACATCCAGCTGACAAATCCCAAATAGGACGAAACGCGCTTTTTGGATTCGACAGCTAGTCACTATCTATCTTTGCTTACAATAGTTTTGAAGATGTTATTTTATTCTGTAAAATTTGTTTGTCAATTTCATTTAAAAGTGACTGTTTTGTGCTAGTATGAGATTGAATTAAGACCTCAGGGTTTTCAGGAAAGTGCTTGACCATTAAAATCATTGAACTGATATCGATCAGCACACACTTTTCAGTCAATTCGCGGTAAATAATGACAATCATTGACTACTATAGACCACAATTTTCTTCTCTATTTGTGTTCGAACTCCATTGGTCACAAATACCCATCCATTCTATGGATGATGTCATGGGTGCACGTCTCTGAAGAATCGGGTACTAAGACGAAACAACTGTCTAATGGTCCCTTATTTTCATCAGTATCTCAGCTTAGATCAATTTGTAATAAATCCAGTCCACGTTTTAATGCAAATTTTTTATTTCTGATTGTGATACTAATTTTAATAAGAAACGTTTTTTAATGATACTAGATAATAATATTAGATTATGACTAACTTAATCAGTTCCGTTTATGGTAAGTAGTGCAAGGTTGTAGATGTAAGTTTTCAGTATTTCTTAGAAAACGGGTAGTCAAATTTACTTAAATATTTTTATCAAACAGTCATCATGCAAATAAAGAACATTTAACGAACGAAGAAAGTGGAACACTACTACAACAGTAACAACAACATCAACTGTTACTGCTTCTTGGCAGATTATGTCTGTTTATAGCATAGCTGAAAGGTCTGGAGAAATTATATTTAAACGCAATAACCGATATAAAGTTATGGGTGAACTCGTAAACAATGATGTTTTGGGTCTATGATTTAATTCCTATGCTGAAAATTGGGTATGAAGGTAATATCTTTAATGGTGATTTTCACAAGAGTGATTTAAGTCCCGAACACTTAGCTTCTTCTTCTTGATATAATATTGAATAATACAAAATCATAAACTTTAATGATGATCAACTGTAACTCTCTATATTAGACTTACATGCTTCAGTAATTTAAACTTCTTATTCTATCAGTCAATCCTTGTCTAAATAGTATACCTATGTGCCTTTTATCAGTATAGAAGCTGGTTGTATCATACATTGATAGAGTGATTTCTTTATTTACTCAGATTGTCTATCAATCCGAACTGTAGCAATCCCATGTTAAAATGGACACAAACAATTTGTAGATGAAATACGTATTTTATTGGCTTAAGAATTAATTATAAGTTTAATTGTATTTCACCTGTTGTGTTCAATGATTTCAAGTAGAATATTTCTTGACAGTATGGTAAATATAACTTACAGTCAACTAAATAAACCCATAATTGTGTGTGAAAAAATGTATTTTGCAATGTTCCTCGTCTTTTTCAGGGGTTGTATGTATCCGAGAAATGAATATGTTGAGTAAAGTCGTACTGTTTAAATTATTTTCATATTTAGCGTTACGATAACATTTATTTACCTCTTACAGATACCTATATTGATGGTTCAAAGATAGAAGTTACATGGGCTAAACCAGTTGACAAGAATGAGTTAAACACTCGACAACAGTCATCTCGTTCACCTGGAAGATTAATAAATGAATTAGTTTTATCAAATGATCAAAACATGATTGCCGCAGCTACAGCTGTTGTAGCAGCTGGAGGGATGTTACCCCATTTGGAATCAACATCCTCATTTTTTCTACCATCTCAAGGTACACCTATGGGAACTGATCTTTTACCAACTAATTCAAATATTTTGAACTCCGGGAGAACAGATAATAATCTTGGAAGTCCTAGGTGAGCTCAATTTAAAATAACAATATAAATAATCCTTTACTACATTCAAATATAAACTGAATAGGTTTTGTATTTTATGTTATTTTACGAAGCTAAATATTTAACAATTACAGGAAACGCCTATTAGTAAACTTATAATGACAGAGGTTTGTGGAGATTACTGAATGTTATTGATATCACTAACTAGCGCGTTAGACATCCATTGAAAAGTCGAAAGTGATGAACAGCTGTCTCATTCTCGTATTTGAGTTCCCAGGAGTACACACCCATGGTCCAACTAGGTATGAAACCAAGAACTATTGGTTTCACACATGAACGCTTAACTTCCAGAGCAAGGAACAGGAATCCAACGGTGTATTTGCCTAACTTCAATCAATTTACGATACTAGATGTTTAACATAGATTAGTTCGTGATATCAATTTTATTAGCACTATCAAGTTTAGGTTTTGATGCCAAATCGGTACCAGCTTAAATCATGCTCTAAGAAAACAAGTTAATTTGACTATTTTAAGAAATGAGACTACTATCCTTTCTGGGTAAGCTTGAATGAAATTCTTCACTTTAGGAGAACTTCAAGTGAAATTTTACCTGTTGCCGAGTTAATCATGTAACTTTTTCTGAAACTGATTGTGTTGTATTTCTTGTATCGAGAGTATAAACTTCTAAAATCTAGTAGTGAAATTATAAAGGACTTAAAGATTAAAAATGTATAAAAAAGCAAATAAAATCACACACATTTATCGTTGGAAGTTAACGTTGTTCATGCTTCTGTTACTCACGATTAATAGTAGCTCAGAAATCGAATTGTTGGTTCATCTGAAAGGCAATATGAAATTACCCTCATACAAGGGCATATTTATGATTTTGTCATAATTGCATGACAGCAAAAAACAATTACTGATTAAGATATTACTGAAAGATATTAAGACCTATTTCACCAAATAAAAAAAATTAAGCTTTGGAGCCACGATATGGTAATATACAAGTTCTGTTTTCTTTTACAGAGTTCAGGTTTCAAATATTGAGTTGTTAACACCTCAAAAGTTCATAAGCTACTGAGACGTGCGAACTTTGAGTTTAGCTACCTGCCCATGTAGTTAAATTATTTTAAAAGATATTTCTTGTGTGACAGCGTGATCAGAATCGAAGATAAGTCTGAATATTAAGCTACTGATCATTTTAAATTTTTCCTTTGAAAGTAATGAATAGTATTAGCTGGAGACGCTTATGCGAACTATTTGCTTAGTGTAGCCAATGTAGAGAAAAGTAACACATACATACCCCCAAGTTTCTGAATTCTTCTCCAACTTTTTCATACTTTTCAAGTGGAAGATTATCTTCCATAGGTTTGTTCTCATCATAAGATTTTTCTCTAACTTCCCCGTCATTAGACAGATTGCTTTTAACACATGATATAACCAAATATTATAATGTATATTCGTTCTTCTATTTTTATAACAGGATATTATACTGGATAGATTACAGTAAATACGATGATAAGATAAGAGTAAATAACATAGTTGAAGGTAATTATCCCAGTTTCCTTAGATTAGTAATGAGTCACAACAACAGCCGTGATAGGGTAATCATGGTTTGGCAACAGCCGCAAAGAACTAGCATAAATTATCTTCATAACCATTTCTATTTTTTAAATATTAAGTCAGTTAGACTCAAAGTAATTAAATATTGAACATTTTTTCGAAGAACAGTTATAATAATGCGAGACTGGTTAAATTTCATACATTACTAACAATTATTTTACTAGTGGTATGAAGCTGAATTCCTCAAGAACGGGTAGAAGAAATGCAGCCGGTAGTCGAAGTGCTGGAGCTCAAAAGGATCGTAAACATCCTGTAGAAGTGAGTAAATAGAATCATATATCTATAGACTGTTTATTTTATTCATTCTAATGATTCTATTGACTAAGTTAGATGATAATATCAGTAAAACTATTAGTAGTTTAATGTGTACATGATTATCCAAAGTGGTTGCCAAATATTGATGTTTTATTTTTTTTTTTAAAACCCGTTATTTCGATTATCGTTTATTTAACTTTAAGTAAATATAAACTATCTCACTAAATTATTTGTTTATTAATAAATCTAGTCAATCCTAACAGTGAACTCTATAGTCAATCTGCTTACCTTAACTCTGCGAGATGAATGATGGAACTTTTAGACTCTAAATATACTCACTTCTGTTTACGTTATAGAACGATAGACTTTAATTTTTAACCTTAGTTAACTAACATTGTCTTAGAATGTAACAACTTGAAGTTTCTCAGTTTAGCAGATGACCACTATATACATCTATATATGCTGTCGTTAAAATCGATAATAAGCCGACGAGTTGTTTTGTTTACATTTGAATCAGTAAGGATACATTTTTTTTGGCTGCATTTTCAATTCCGGTATACACATTTTAACTTCACTTGTTACAATGTACGTACGGATAATAATAACAACAAAAATAATGATTACAGGTTGACAAAAGGTTAATAATTTACAATAGTGTATTTGTTTATTTAATAATTCAATAAACAATCAGATGTATATCATATAAGTCCTGTTAATATTTATAGATGAAAATTCCATTTTTTTTAAAAATCGGTCTTCATGAGAAGTCCCTTATCAGAGGATCACTGAAATCCATAAATCGTCTGACGATTGTTTCAATGTGATTGGTCATCTATCAACATATTCAGACCTAACCATATAGGTTATGAATCTAATGATAAACTACCACCATATTCAGTTACATAGTTGTAATATAGTTGTTTAAATTTTTAAATTTCAGTCACCTCGCAATAGAGCTCAAATATTATCTGGTTTCATAATTGAGCAACCACATCTAATCAAGCTTGAGTATGTTCATAGATCATGGATTAGATATTTATCAGCTTCTAAAAGGCTGATAGGTAGTGGAAAAGTAAGGTAACTGTATTACTAGCCTTTTTCACCTTACATCAGCCAATCAATTATTATGCACAAATAGGTAGATTAAGATCATGATTGATGAATTCTTTTTAATTAAACCAACAGCATTCCAACATACTTGGCTACAATACTAACGTCTTAAGCATATTTGATAAATAGCTAGTAATGAAATCCAGATTATGTTTACAGTCCATCTTGGGACTCGTACTAATTAAGCTAAAAAATTTGTGACTAAAGGCTGTGTTGAAGTAATTTGCTCATGATACAAACAAGCAACAGCGACTGACCATTAAATTATTAACTCAAAAATGATACCAAATACCCTAAATAATTTTTTGTCTCATACTTCACTCTCCTTATAGATCTGTGTTAAACAAGTTGATTTGAAGACTGATTGAATCATTTATCAATTCAATAATTTTTGTTTAGAATTTTGTGATATATTTCGCTTATTATTGTATAGCTTTTCACAGTTGAATTATGTGTTTCGAGATACATAACAAATAGTAGGTTTAAAAGGTATATTTAATGTTTGTCAATATCGAAGTAAATTATACTTCATCTAAGAGCCATGTTGTCAGATGTAGACTACTTGGTTGGGATCCGCGCAACTATCGTAACCAGTGGTTAGAGACTCTAGGTGATATGGCTCAGAATCGATCACAATGGCGTAGGTGTATACACTTTTTATCTCCTCTTAAACCTTGAGATTAAAATTGCTTCATAACTTTCTTCCTTCCTATACTATATCCTTATATACAACCTTTCTTTTATAGATTACCACCACTAAATTGACTACTTCTATGAATCCTATGTTCATCTTGTTGTGCTAACGAGATATGGCGACTTGGACCGATGCATAAATGTGCCTGGTCCTACGTTGTAGCTGACTGATACTTCATCTGACACAAAATTTCAAAGCCTCAACATCAGGCCTCATTCATCCTCATAAAAAAATAATGTTAGTAACAAAGTTTGTTAGATTATCAGAATATTATATTGTAGTGAACAAGAACACCAGTGGGTACAACCAAATGTATTTGAATAAAAATTAAAGAATCTCTTAGTAAAATTCGAGAACCATAAAATAAATACTTAATTTGCAAAAAATGTCAATCGATCGTCTCAGATTTAATTTGTTCCGTCATTTTCACATCAATCATTGTCTGTTTTCTTCCTCTTTCTTTTAATCTTCTTAACCTTCTGCCGCTCAACATTTCATTTTCAACTGGTGATACATCAGTAATACACACCATAATATTACATAGATATCTTACACAGACAAAGGAATAAATAACATAAAATCAAACGATTATTAAGAAGGGGGTTTTGTGAAGATTTTGGTAATTTTATGTAGTTGAGATCATGAGTCAATCGAAGCTAGACAACCATGAGAAACCTGGAAGCACTGCTTGACGGCTGTTTCGTCCTATTGTGGGACTCCTAAGCAGTGCGCATCCGCGATCCCGCTCAGTGGTCTATGTTGGTTAAGTGCTCTGGCGTGAGATTGATAGGTCCTGGGTTTGAATCTCGTGAGGCGAGATCATGAATGCGCACTGCTGAAGAGTCCCATAATAGGATGAAACGGCCGTCAAGCAGTGCTTCCAGGTTTTCCATGGTGGTCTAGCTTCAATTGACTCATGATCTCAATTATATAAGTTTATTAAGAACTGTGTCAATTGCATACCTTGTCACTTCAAGTTTGTACACGTTTTCCAAATTGTTAGACATCTGTCTATTACAAGAATAACAAGAAAATAATAATTATACTTTTGAATCTGATGAAGTATCTAGTTATGGTCCGAATTATAAACAATATTTGAGATAAATTTTATTCTATCAGATGAGAAGTGTTATGTAAAGTTTAAAAGTAACTTTGGTTTTGTTAATAAAGTTAACATCTTATTTTTGTCTAAACATATCATTTAACGAAAACCAGTTATTAGATGAAACTTCAGTTAAGTTTAATTAGTTATATTTTTCACAAGGGTTTTTTGTGTGGAGATTTAGTATTTGCACAGTTGAAAGCATGAATCGATTGAAGCTAGACTACAAGGGAAAACCTGGAAGTAATGGACGTTCGAGTAGATAATGCGATGGCGTTTGGAGCAGAAGGTACTGGGTTTGTGTCCCAGAGTGAACATCAACTCTGAGATCCAGCTGACAAGTCCCAAATGGGACGAAACGCGCGTCCTGGATTCCACTGCTAGCCACTATTCATCTTCGCTTACAATGCTTGATCAGAGTAGTTCAGCATCATAGGATTCCACGAATGTACCCACCAAAGACAATAGAAGATAGTTTAAAAATATAGCGTATTGATTGAAGTCACACTTATTCACCATTGGATCCTAGTTTGATGATCTAAAGGTTAAGTGTTTGTGAGTGAAACTAATGGTCCCAGATTTGATTATCGTTGACAGACTCATGGATGAGATTTACCGAGGAGTCCCATACTAATACCCAACAACTATTGAAAGCATCCAGATTTTCAACGATGTTTTAAGTTGAATTGGTTAATGATCTCATTAATTAATATATATATATAGTTAAGCAGTAGTGTTTTGACCAAACATTAAATCATCACATTAAACATGTTTAACTCACCATTTTTCGTATATTTTCTTTTATATCTCTAATTCCATTTTTCTATCTTATGAATAATTTGAGGCAAGGCTAAACATCAATGGCGTTTATACGATCAGTTAGTAAGTTTATCATGAAACAAACATTAAAAAAAGTCTATGCAGTTAAAAATGAATCATGGTAACAAGACCAAGTAGTCATGCATATATATATCACAAAGATCAACCAACCAATATCAGTCTAAAACGACTCAGTCAAATTATTAACCAAATTGCTTATAATAAAACAATCATACCTTAATTATTACTAATGAATTCCCGCTACACTTATAATTTTGAATTTCTATCACTTTTGTTGTTGTTTTAATTAACCAATTTAGAAAAGATGATTTTTAATTTGGCTATTTTAAATGCTCTATTAATGAGATTGATAAGATTTTTGCACTATCCGCCTATTTATGTCAACTTATCTATATATACATCATAGAACTTATCATATTTTTCATGGTGTAATCATAAATAATTAATTTTGTTTTTTAATAAAAATTGCAATATATTACTGACAATTACATATTAGTGACATGATTTTAAGAAAAAAATAAAAATTACAAATGAATAAATGAAGGAAGATTTTTACAATTATGATTATCAGAAGGAGGTTTTGTGGAGATTTTAGTAATTTCATATAGTTGAGATCATGAGTTAATTGAAGCTAGACCACCATGGAAAAGATGGAAGCACTGCTTGACGGCCGTTTCATGGGACTCCTCAGCAGTGCGAACCACGATCTCGTCTCACTAGATTCCAACCCAGAACCTACCAGTCACACGCCAGAGCACTGAGCCGGCATCCGATGGTGTTCATGTCTAACTTCATGTGTCAATGTCAATGTCAACTTTATATGTTCACTAGCGGCCGGCTCCATGAGGTATTTCCTGGAGTTCTAGTGAGAAGCAGTAACCACTGTAGTTCAACCAGGTCTGTTAGGAGATATAAAATCACTGAAGACATTGGCGAATGGTTATTGAATTGCTGTGTTCCATAATAATTTGATGCTCACTGCTGAGGAGTCCCATGATGGGGCGAAACGGCCGTCCAGTGCTTCTAGGTTTTAAACGGTGGTCTAACTTCAATTGATTCATGATCCTAACTATTAAAATTGATGTGTAATCATTGAAATTAACAATTTGCTTCAATTTAACAAATTGGGCAGTATTAATACATTTTTTATAAACAGTTTAGGTTTGAGATGAATTCGTCAAACCTATACTAGATATGAGGGTTCTTTGTGGAGATTTTTTTACTAATTTTTTATATACAATTGAAATCATCAGTCGGGATCGTGGATGTGCACTGTTGAGGAGTCCCACAATAGGATGAAACGGTCGTCTAGTGCTTCCAGGTTTTTCATGGTTATTTAGCTTCAAATAACTCATGATTTCAACTATACTAGATACATTGAATTATGTAAGTAATACTTATTGGAAATATTAAATAAGGAACACAGTTTGATTACAAATGAGATAGAAAAAAGCTCAACAATAAAGATGCTTTTATTATTCATAGAAATGATCGTTTTTTGTATCATTTGTATTGATTTCACAAAATATTACACAAAATGTATCTTTTCCAAGTGTTAGTTAATTAGATACCAGTTAAGTTTCAAATAAGATTTTATGATGAATTAACATACGTCACCACCATACACCACCATTAAAATTTAAACTCATTTCCGACAATAGTATGTTGTACAAATGTTCCTTGGAGAACATTACATGTATCTTGCTTACAGGGTTTAAAATTTAAACCTACACACATATCTCTTATAACATGTTTAGTGTAATAACGGTAAATTAATTTGCAATTCGAATATCTATTCATTATCATCTAGAGGTATTTTATTCTTTAAAGTTAAAGTAACATTTACAATAACAGTGGTCTATGTTACATTACGTATATATATATATATATACTTATGATGTAACGGTTAGCTTATCATATGCTTACTAGTGACTGACTTCAAGAGATAATTCCTGGAGTTCTAGTGAGAAGCAGTAACCAGTGGAGTTCAAACCATGTCTGTTGTGAGAGAGGAACTCACTGAAGACAATTGGTGAACGGTTGCTCAGCTTCGTAATTTGGTTGAAGTTAGACAATAACACCGTTGGATGCCAGCTAGTTGTCCAGTGGTTAAGTGCTTTGGCGAGAGACGAGATCGTGAATAAGCACTGCTGAAAAGTTTCACAATAGAACGAGTTGACCGTCAAGCAATGTTTGCAGGTTTTCCTTGGTGGTCTTGCTTCAATTGATTCATGATTTCAACTATTAAGATTAGCTAATTGATACATTCAATTCTTAAGTATTGTATCTTAAGTCCTAACCTTGATTCATTCATTCACTTACTCGTATTTGAATTGTTGTACAGTATCTGCAACCTTCACAAAATTAAATGTAACTATTTTATAGACATACAAATTACTATAAATATATTATGATTAAGAAACTCGATCACATGAACAATATTACACTCATTTATAGAAACACACATCAGAAATTCAATTCTTTTTCATCAACTGATGATTTGTTTTTATCTTTTTGTTGTTCTTGTCTTTTTTAATATCAAATTTTTTGGATAAAATCTAATCATGACTGAATCTAATAATAGTTTGATTTTGTTGCTGAGAATATGGTTTGATTACCGTAAATTTTGTATGTTTGAATGTGTGTGTGTGTGTGTATGATTACTCTATAAACATTAAAAGATAATCAACTCATAATTACTAATTTCTAACTAGTCCGTTAATACAATATGTATATAACTTTCTAATTCACCAGCTTATTTATATGATATACCGAATGTTTCTTGTTTTTTTTCTTTGATTACTAATGCACTGTAACATTTCTTCTTCTCTTTTCTTCTTCTTCTTCTTCTTCTTGTTCTTTTTCTTCTTGTTCTTCTTTTTCTTGTTCTTCTTCCTTTTGTTCTTCTTCCTCTTGCTCTTCTTCTCTAACGAAAACAACAAATTAGTTCACCTTCTATTTAAGGCTATTTTTACTAATCACGTACGAATATATTTAAATAAAAATGAAAATTAGCTAGAAGACAATTTCTGCTTAATCCTAATCATTAATTTTTTTCTTTTTGACCATAGAAACAAAATCACTAATCAAATTTTTTTTATTTTTCAAATGATTAATTTCCTTTATTGTAAGGAAAAAAAAGAAAAAAATATCCTTTCATTATTTTCAATAATTATCACTTTTTTTCTTCTTATCTTAGAAATTACAACAACGTCAGTTGAATCCGTTGGCTCTTTTAGAGGTTGGTCTTAATTCATATAAATATGTACTTCACTGAAAGAAAACAAAACAAAATATGTATACATTTTTTGATTAGTTCATATCTAATTGTATGTATTTATGTATTCCTACCCTTAAGAACGTAATTGTTTTCACATTACGTTTGCTTCTTCTTTTTTTATTCTTATCATAATCTGAAGGGGTTCTGTGAAGTTATCAGTATATTCATAATTGAAATCATGAGTCAATTGAGGGTAGGTACCTGTTAGGTCCTGGGCTCGAATCTCACAAGTGCGGGATCGTGGATGTGCACTGCTGAGGAGTCCCACAATAGGACGAGATGGCGGTCCAGTTCTTTCAGGTTTTCCATGGTGGTCTAGCTTTAATTGACTCATGATTTGAAATATCATAATCTGTTTATTTCAATATGTGAAATCTCAATTAATGCTAAATGTAATATGGCTAGCCTTCTTATATGCATGTATAGAATATTTTTTTAGATTACTGGTCAGGCCAACATTTTATAGACACCTCTTTTTTTCTTAATTTTAGAATTTAAATGATCTATGTTTACGTGATGGTCTTGGTTCACCGATATGTAGTGCAATACCAGTTGATTTCATTGATTCAAATACAGGAAATAAGGTTCAATTGTATGTTGGACAGGTAAGTATTAATTCAGGTCGTTAGATTTACTTTGTCGTACGGTTCTTCATTACGATAACCAACTAATTCATGTTCATGAGATTAGGTAACACTTTATGCAGTAAGCCAAAAATGATTTAGGTGCATTTTAAATGTAAATTGTTTTCTTAAGGAGTGGTTTATGATAATCAAGCGAATTCGCCATTTCACAAATCTAAGTGTTTCATCAGCCTTTCTGGGTTGACATCCGAGTAAATTTCGTCATAATAACAAGTTTTTCATATGATTTTAGTCAATACCCAAGGCTCTAGCGAAATCCTCATCTCACCAGAGGATTAGTATTCTGAACAACTGTTCATTATATAGCGTCCTACGTTTAGAAAAAATAACTCTGAGAGTTAAAGACATGTGTAAAGGATAATTATTTCATTATAGGCATCTTCAGAGTATTAATCCCATTTGATAACCTAACGAACTTAATAATATAGTGGTTAAGGGTACAATTTCAGTTAGATCAGAAGCGATAAGTCATTATTAGCTCAGATGGCTGATCTATTTGTTACCCATCCCTAGTTGGCCCCAAATGCCCTGGTACGGCCGACAGTGGGGAGAGTCCGCTCTCCCTCTCCAAATGCTCTAACATGGCCACGTGTATATAGCCTCTGCCACGGAAGTCCTACTCACTCCCTTCTCGTGGCAGGGATGTTGTTCACAAAATTGAGCGGACGAAAAGCGAATGCCCGGCGCTTTAACCGGGTTCGTGGACACGGCGAGTTCACCTAGGGGAGTTGGAAAACCCGGATTCCAAACCAATGGTGCACATGGGCTCCAGTATCCAGAAGAAACGAATGGCGTACGAATCAATCATTAATCACCGGCTACCATGGGACTGCATCTCCTCACGATGCTCCACTGCCTTGTGGACTAGACCTTTAGGTCAAAGGCTCCGGGTGTGGCTTCCTAAGAAAACCACCTGCTTCAGTTTGGGCACCTGGGCAGTGTCACAGTCTTCACACAAATCCCATTTGATTTGTGAGGTGCATATTTATCAATATTTATTTATTTATAAATATTTTCAATATTTACTCTTATTACATTGAAATATAAATGAACAATATGAAACCATATCCACTTTTGTTACTAAGCTTGACATGATCGATGAGCTAAATAATTTAAGTAATTTTTTTCTAAAAAATAGGTTATCAAAACTTATAGACAAATAATTGTCATGAGGGGTTTAGTGGATATTATAGTCATTTTGTTAGTTGAAATCATGAATCAGTTGAAGCTAGACCATTATGGAAAACTTGAAATCATTGCTTGACGACCTTTTCATCCTAATGTGGGACTCCTAGCGGATAAGCTGAAGTTAGATATTAACACCATTGGATGCAGGCTCAGTGGCCAAGTGGTTAAGCGCTAGCACACGAAACCGATAGGTTCTAGGTTCGGAACTCGTGAGGCGGGATTGTGGATGAGCACTGTTGAATAGTCTCACAATAGGACGAAACAACCGTCTAGTGCTTCCAGGTTTTCCATAATGGTCTAACTTCAATTGATTCATGATCTCAACTAATAAAATAATTATCAATTAAAAATTACAGTTTTTCAATTCCATTAATTAATTAATTTTTTTTTTGGATAAATAATATTGATCATGTTATTTATGATTATGATGTTTTTTTCAAATCGGTTAATCCATTAGGAGTTAATTTTTTTTTTCATTATTACTCCATTTATAACCGAAAATTGAAAATGTTCTCTCAATTATTATTATTCGTCAATGTGATCAAAGGTCAATCATACATTATTATATACAGTACAATGTAATTAATATAAATATGTATATAATATTAATGAATGAAAAAAAAAACATTATTGATTTATGTTTCCGTTAATAAACTTAAAATGGAAACGAAATTAAATATTTTCAGTTCAACTATAATATTTATATAGAAAGTTAAAACAAAATGAGATAAATAGGATAAATGATATTATAAGCAAAGATGAATAGTGACTAGCAGTGGAATCCAGGAAGCGCGTTTCGTCTTATTTGGGATTCGTCAGCTGGATGTACTTGAATCTCAAAGCTAATGTTCACTCTGAGACTCGAACCCAGTATAGTTCGCTTCAAACGCCATCGCGTTATTCACTCAGCCACTGAGTCCTGATAGCCACTTGCTTGTGCAATGGTTGAAGATTTAAATTTACTTAGTGTTGTTTGTTTGAATCTTCTAAATGATCTTTAGGACTGCAACTGAACACCAACACTTAAAAGCAGGTACATCCAGCTGACGAATCTCAAATAGAACGAAACGCATGTCCTGGATTCCACTGCTAGTCACTATCCATCTTTGCTTACAATGCTTGTGAATTAAAGCTATATCGCGGCAATACGCATAGTATGCACATATGCCAATTAGAGACTGACCAGTTGCAGTCCTAACAAATCGATGGGAAGATTCAAACAAACGATGCTAAGTTGAATTTAAACTTCACCCCATCGCACAAGCAATTGGCTATCAGGACTCAGTGGCCGAGTGGATAACGCAATGGCGTTTGAAGCGAGGGTACTGGGTTCGAATCCCAGAGTGAACATCAACTCTGAGATGCAGGTACATCCAGCTGACGAGTCCCAAATAGGACGAAACGCGCGTCCTGGATTCCACTGCTAGCCACTATCCATCTCTGCTAACCATGCTTGTGAATTAAGGTATATCGAGGCAATACGCACAGTATGCACATATGCCAATTAGAGATTGACCAGTTGCAGTCCTAACAAATCGGTGGGAATATTCAAACAAACAATACTATGTTGAATTCATACATCAAATAGTTAATTTGCAAAATAACAAGCGATTGTCTCAATCTTCACTGTTCCTTCTGACAATATCAGTTCATCTTCTCTAATTTCATTGTTCATGCATTTTCTCACCAATCGCGCTTCATTTCGGTTTTTTCTTAATCGGTCTTCTGCCAAAATACATTCTATATCTGATCATCACCATTTACTACTTATATGGATATAAGTAGACCACACTACACTCGTCCCCTCTTTAAAGCATACATATATAGTAGAATATAAGTGATAAGTAAAAGATGAAAACTGATTAAAACATGATTTATACATTGATTATTAAAATATTTTAATACATTTTGAATAAACAAATTCATTGAAAATAAAACGAAAGACAAAAAATCACCGAAAGTTTCGATATCTTTTATAGAATTAAATTATCAGGACGAAACGCGCATCCTGGTTTTCATTGCTAGCCATTATCTATCTTTACTTGGTAATTATTATTAAAACCATTAACAAGAAGGAATAACACCGACTAGATTATAGGATAAGAAAAGTGTGAAGGTAGGAACATAATTAATTGACTAGAGTAGCTTTCAGAATTATATATTTCATCTAATTGAATGTAAATTAGTCAACTTTAAATGATGATTTTTAAACCAATGAATGATCACTTCGTTTTATGGAACTGGAGGTATCGTCAAAGAAAGTAACAGTAAAGGATAAGAAGTACGTTTACTATTTTAATCTTAAAATCATATACACTTTTTATCGATATCAGTTAGAAAAGATGGATAATTAGTATAGTAAAGAGGTAAACAGATAACAGAATTGGTATAGCGATCCACTTGGCTATTTGTTTATTTTACTTAACTAACAACATTTACTATAGTTAATATACGAAAAGACAGTTGAACTCGAAAAATAATTCAAATTCTCAACACTATTCAATTAGTATTATTGTATAACAACTAATATTTGAAAAGATCTAAGAAAGCTTTTACGAATTTTGAACGCTACTTTCTACTAATATACAGTATTACAATAAGAAAAAAAACTATAGAAGGCTTAACTGAATTATGATTAGTTTTATTTCACAAGTAAGTGGCTATCTGAACTCATCAACTAAGTGGATAAACTGTTATAAATTTGAAGCGAAATGCTCTGTGTTCCTGTATGGATATCAACACTGGAATGCAAGGACATCCAGAAGATGAACGTCAAATAGAATGAAACATACATCCTGGATAAATCTATCTTTCTTATATCGGTAGGCTCTTTTTAACTCTTCTACAATTCTACTAATATCTTACAATATAGTCAGTGGATTTTTCGACACTAGTTTTATTTAAGCAAATGAGAAATTTAAGCGCAAGAGTAACACTTGAATGACATCATTTTGATTAGTGTATGCGTTTGTGTTTGCTTGTTAATAAGCTAAACTTTAATGTGTAATTGTTATCTTTTCATTATATCAGGTTTATATTCCAAAATTGCAATTCCGATGCAACACAAGCCGGTATTATTTAACATCTACTGAGGCTAAACTTGGTGCTTCTGAAATAGCTATTCAAAGTCTTCCATTTAATCCTTTCAACTTGAATGAAGGTAAACAGTATTACTAACAAAATGCTTGTCTTTTTGTTTCTTTTTCACATAATATTGATTTTACAAAAGAGCTTAACATGCCTCTACTCAAAGATATTGTCATAAGTTATATATATATATATATGCATTACCATACATTGGTATCTGAATCTAAACCTAGTTTCCAAATTACTTACAAAGTATAATAAACACTCTTCTTACGTAACATAGTCGAAATCAATTTAGAAGAAATGAACAATAGTTTTTTTAAGTAATACTTCTCAATACATAATAGCCTACCTCATCTAACAGTTTAATCAAAGTCTCTGCATTCAAATTATAAAATATCTAGTGATATAGAAAATATCCATTTAAAGAGCTAACTGACATAGCAGTGAACGAAGACTTGATGTAAAGAACCAAATTATCATTTAACGTAAAATTTCAGAGTGTCTTCATAAAATATGAAAAACGTACATTCAACACTTCATTTACACTTCTTCCATCAATTGTCTCATACAAAATTCATTACAGTCATTATCAAAATTACTTTCTGTTTATATAGCTATTCTCTTCAATTCGATCTTCTCAACCTTCTTCTTACAGCTATTCCACTTCCAATTGGATTTTTATACGAATTACATCTGTCAACATACGTAACATACACTACAACATGATGATCCACTTATTTTAAACATTAATAAATCAACCATTTAATGATATAGATTATACTTTCGTTTGTAGTTTATATTTTTCATTTTATTCAATAAATTTAGCATGAATCTCTCCTAATATAGAAGCAATTCTAGTTTATTTAGTGTTAAAACGTATGATGCCCATAGCATACAACACCATATTGTTTAGATTAAGTATTCAATAATAAGTTCTAGATTGATGGTGACATGTTCCAATTAAGTGGATAAACGTTTTTCATCAATTCAGTGAAGATAAACACCAGTGGAGATAATCTAATGCATTTCAACACAAAATTACAGAATATCCCAGTAAAACCTGAGAATCAAACAATAAATACATAATTTACAAAATATCAATCAAACTTGACTGTTCGTTTGAAAATGTCAATCAGTCGTCTCAGACTTCACTTTTTCTTTATATCCATATCATCAATTGCTTACTGTTTCTGTTCTTCCCTTCTCAATCTTCTTAATCTTCTGCTACCAGATGTTCTACTTCTGACTCACGATATATACTATCTATATCGAAATAAGTAGCACACATCACAATATCATCATTAATAAAACTAGATTTTATGTTTCTCTGTTATCATCAGTTAATATAACTATTCAACTAGAGTACGACTGAATCTGAATAATTAAAGTTCACAATGGAAAAATATTACAAATTTATAAGGACATACTGATTAAGAATGATCCAGCACTATTTTATACTTCTAATAATTGTATAAAATAATTTTTTTTACAATTGGGTTTAAGCTTGAAGGAAGCGAAAAAATTGTTGATAGACAAAGATAGATAAATCTCAAACCACACTACTGACTATGCAGAAAATAGAAGAAACCTATGAGATTTAGTGTGCCACAAAACTGTAAGGATAAATGATCCTACTCTTTCAGTTAGCAAAGTTAGTTAACATCAATTTATTATCCGAAGCGTGGTCAATAACAAAATGATCAAAGACTAATATGCGTAACTGTTTACGATACTGAGTTTCATCAGCACCGTAAAACAACTTAGTATACGATAATGTGAAGGGGTTTTGTGGAGATTTCATTAATTCTGTAGTTGAAAACATTAGTCAATTGAAGCCAGACCACCAAAGAAAACCTGGAAGCACTGGATGGCCGTTTCGTCTTATCATGGGACTCCTCAGCAGTGCGATTCCACGATTTCGCCTCACTAGATTCCAACCCAGGACCTACCAGTCTCGCGCCAGAGATAGGAACTCACTGAAGACAATTGATGAACGGTTGCTCAAACTTCATGGATTGGTTGAAGTTCGACATTACCACCATCGGATGCCGATTCAGTGGTCTATCGGTTAAGTGCTCTGGCTCGAGATTAGTATACTATGGTTTTTTCCAATGCTTCATTCAATTGACATTGCTTGACGGAAAGTTTCTTTTTCTAAACAAACATACAACCGTTATTCAATAATTCCAGATAAAACCAAATTTAAATATTTTCAGGTAATTCGATATAATTCATCAAGTGAAATTCTATACTTAAGAATTATAACACATAAAATGTAAATTATGTTCACATTATAACAGTTGACTTCAATTATAGTTTACGAGTGGCATAAATTATAAAGATAATCTGGTCATTCAAAAAATAATCAGTAGGTTGTGTAATAGTTACGAATCATTTAGTGTATTTCATTAAGATTACAAGCACCTCTTGCTAACAGGTTTCTAACACCAAGAGACCTAGGTTTACGGTTTCCCATAGACTGCCTCTAACCTTCTAGAATCAATATTTCTAAATGTTTATATCACTTAAGTTCTATTAGCTTTAAATGGACGAATATCAGTCTAATAAGAGCTTAGTTACGTGTTGGAAATATTAATTTTGTTATCTCTGAATGTGATACTTAGTGACTTAGAACTGAATTTATCAGAGTGCCAATTCCCTCCAGATTATAGAAACATATCATGTACCTAGAATATACTATAATGATACATTACAGGGTTATCTTTCTGTGCTATCGTGTATAACATACATTTCTTATGTTTATATGTACTTTCAGACAAACAGATAGTTTCGATATAGCACAAAAACAGACATTTCATCTTCATTTTGTTAAGTTCATCAACTACGTTTCTGAAAACAGTTAAGGTGTGGTTTTCCACTTTAATTTCTTTTAAATACTTCAATTTTGCACTTCAGTTTGAATTATTCGTTATTCTGAAACTGATTTACACATCAGTGTCTTATCATACGATTATAAATCATTTCATTTTTCATCGAAGGAAAAACAATAACTGTAGACAAAATATATGAAATGACTTAATTCCAGTATTTTTTCCATATTCTGACAACATTTAAATCTATTTTCATGAATCTGCCCTTTCTGTTTCATCTTCTAGTTTCCGTTGATACGATAATCACTTATTAGATTTCGATGCTCTAAAGGTCATAAGATTAGAGGTCTTACAGAACACTACTGTGAGTAGCATGCTTATATTCATAGAAATAATTGGCGTCACAATCATTTGGTGGTGGGATAAGTTGGGCTTTTAATCTTAATAGTGTTAGTCATAAAATCCTTCAGTTATACATTATCGAAAAATCTTATGCGGTAGTCATAATTCCTAATGGCAGATTAAATCGAAGACAGAGTGTAGATTCGGATGTCAATAATCTTTTTATGTTATATCAGTCAAGTTCTTCATAACAGAACGGTGGCATCAGTTACTTCCTCATTAAACTGTTTGCTTTTAAGGATGTAAAGCTTCCAGAAGTCTTCAGTTTTGGTAATCGAATATAGTTCTGAATTTTTGTCAGACTTTTGTTTCATCATTTCACGGTCATTTTCAATATATCGAACCACACTTGACAATAGTGAGAGCGGTAGAATCACAGTCAAACATATTGTCTACACAACAACACCGAATACGTAAATCTGATGATATATTTGACCCTCGTAACTTGTACATCATGAATAATAATGAGTGTCTTTCTTCAAAACTTTCGTTACAAAATGTATTAGAAATCAATGAGTCAAATATATAACATGTTTTTAAAAAAAAATCGAATTCAAACAACTTAGATCCAACTATCTTAAATGTGACAGCAATGAACTTAAATTATTGTAGCCTTAGCTTATAACTTATTCTGCATTTTTTAACAGAGCCCGTTAGTCCACCACAATTACAGTCAACTTATCACACTTATACAACTTCAAGTTCTTATTTTTCAGATCAAAATTATCTTCCACAGATAAATTCATATTTCTCAAGTTTTAAATTTTTATTTACTACAAAGTTAGGGGGTTTTTGTGGAGATTTTCAGTTATATTATATATATTTGAAATCATGAAAGAACTGAACCTAGATCACCATAGAAAACCTGGAAGTACTGGAAAGCCGTTTCGTCCTATTATGGGACTACTCAGAAGTGCGCGTCCACGATCCCACCTCACGAGATTCGAACCCACGACCTACCAGTCTCGCGCGCGAGCACTTAACCAACATAGACCACTGAGCTGGCCGGCATTCAACGGTGTTGATGTCTAACTTCAATCGATCCACGAAATCGAGCGATCATTTTACCATTTTCTTCAGTGAGTTGATCGAATCTCGCGAGGCGGTATCGTGGATGCCCACTGTTGAGGAGTCCCATACTAGGACGAAACTGCCGTCCAGTTCTTCTAGGTTTTCCATGGTGGTCTAGCTTAAATTAACTCATGATTTCAACTATATACTATAAAGTTAGTTTATTTTTCAGATGAATTGTTTAATTCATTTCATTTCATTAAAACAAAAAATAATAAATTGAATTGTATCATTTAATTATTTTAGCATTTGCAACTAGTTATACTCTGCCAATTAATCCAAATATAGTACATACGAATGCAGCATTTATGCCATTACCATTATCAAATAATATGCCAAATACATCAACTCCATTGAATTTATTACAATCTCAAACAAATATTCTACAATTATCTGGTACAACAAATTTTCCTATAAATAATACTGGTCTAACAAATGTAACCGGTAATTTAACTAATAACAATAATAATAATAATGTTAATCTACAAAATGAATGTACTGCTGGAACCATGATCAACAATGCATTTGATTATTCTACACAGTTGTTTTCAACGGGCACCCTAGGAAATAATGGACTTATTAATGCAACATTTAACAATCAACCTACTTATTATTTTGATCCGAATTCCATTACAACTGCTGCTGCTGCTGCAACAGCTATGTTAGTTGGACCAAATGGATTAGGTACCGTTAATAATACTGCTATACCACAAATTATTGGTATTCAACAATCGTTAACTAATTGCGGTAATGAATTAGGACAAAATTGTTCATCTTCTTCTACTATTGGACAATCGGTAAACTCTTTGTCACCATTAGCAGGTTTATATAATTTTGGTTTACAAATACCATTAATTTCAACATCAGCTTTATCACAATCACAACCAACAACAAATCCAACTTCACAAACTGCAACTGTAATGAATTTATTAAATCAGTCATATACAAATCCTCTTTCTGTACTCAATGGTACTCTATCAGTGACACAATCAATGAATGAACAAACTCAACAAATAGCTCTTTCTGGTACAAGTTGATCTGGTATATTAGGAACTAGTTGAATGAGATTTTGCGTTTTCGTAAGTTTTCAATGGAAGATATCTGGATGATACCTTTGTTTATTTGAAATGACTTCTTGAAATTCACGTATTGTATTGGTTCCAGTTGAATGGAATATTAAATTCCAATACCAAATATTTTTGCAATATATTTATTCTTCACATTTATTTTGTTATATATTCCATAATCTTCATAAAATGGTTTACTCTTCTCTCTTCTATCTCTATTTTTTCCTCCATATTTTCCATTGAATTATCCATGTAAACTGTTTGTCTATTTCACTTGTCATTTCATCAGAAGATGAATCATTTCCAAACTGTTTTAAACGATCCAGCTAACAATAAATATGGGTATGAACAAACAATTTTGTGTTGATCATTATTTGATACTCAATTAAGATAATATAAGCTACAACATTGGAAACTCTTGAGATACCATTGTTCTTTCATACATCTTCATTTATACAACAAAGGGTATTTTGTTTTACCTTTTTTTTCTATAGTCATTAGTATTTACCACAGTTGTTTCACATTACTACTATTATTATCAGCTTCGGAACAAACGTTGTTTCATTTCTATATACATATACTTTTACCATCTTCTTGTGTCCTACTTTCTCTAATATAATAGTCATTATTAATATTTTAATGGACAAAAAACATCTTGTAAATCATCACCATTACTATTATTATCCATATGTCCACATTATTATTGACTAAATCATTAGTACAGTCTTAAGTATGTAGGTCAAGTCTTCACTAATAACAGTTCATCTTTGACACTATATATCTATATCTATACATATATTACAATGAATAAAATATTTGAAGGTGTCTATGTGAAAAGGCAAACTATTACCTGAATGTAATAGTACATCGTACTTAATATGTTGAATATATATAGATATTGACAATATTATTCAATGGTGGTTTTATGATATCCACTTATTTATTTGCTTTGTTTATTCAGTGAAAAACGTAGACAATCAAAAAAAAGAAGTTATATATCTATGATCCAACTTACTTAACTTTCATCTATAATAAGTTTTGTGTGAAATACCATAGCCATTCTTATTTAACTGGTAGAACTATTGAAAAATGAAACTATAAGTAGTATAGTTTTGTACAGGGCAATTGCATTTTAAGTACTTATGTATGTGTCAACAGCAACAAAACCATGGTTCATTTACTTATTTCCTTTTAGTATTTATAATAATAATGTCATATATCTATACATATATCTTGTGAACGATGTATTAGAATTTGTGTACGAAGTTTTCCTTCACGTTTATTCTCATTTATGTAACCTACTAGTCCATTCTTTTTGTCAATGTTAAAAAAAACAACGTTTAAATGAAAGACTATACGCAAAGATAATATTTTATATTTGTATTTCCCTCTCTTTTCATACTGACTTCTTTATCGAAATTCTTCAACATGTTCTTATTTTAATCTTCAATATTGAAAGGTTTAATGTTTGTTGAAGGCTTATTTGTCGCTTCCTTCTCCTTCTTCTTTTTCTTCCCCTTCTCCTTCTTCTTCTTCTTCTACTTCTTCAGTCACTTGGTGTAATAAGTTTAAATAAAAAAGGCACATTGTCATTTAATTAATTTACTAAAAACGTAACTAATCAAATTGAACGTTTTAATGTGTTCATATTACAGTTAATGCTTGTTTCAAAATAATATATATTTTCATTTGTTTTAATATTTTCAGGATAATGCTTCTACACATTTAATGTCATTTGGTAGTGAGATGCACTTTTAAATTTCATAAAGTTCCCGATAAAAGTGATTTGGTGAATATCAAAGATAATTTTACTAGAAGAAAACTAAACTCCAAACAGATTCTTTAAAAAGGGTCCTAACATCAGTCAGTCAGTCAGCTACAACGTAGGACCAGGCACATATATGCATCGGTCCAAGTTGCCATACCTCGTTAGCACAACAAGACGAACACCGGATTCATAGAAATAGTTAATTTAGTGGTAGTAGTATATAAAAGATAGGTTGTATATAAAGATATAGTATAGTAAGGAAAAAAGTTATGAAGCAATTTTAATCTCATGGTTTAAGGGAGGATAAAGAGGGTATACACCTACGCCATTGTGATCGATTCTGAGCCATGTCACCTAGAGTCTCCAACCATTGGTTACGATAGTCACGCGGACCCCAACCAGGTAGTCTGCATCTGCCAACATGGCTCAGACTAGAAGTTAGTGACTTCAAACACTGATGCCATGTTTTGGTTTGGTCGCCCCTAACTCTCTTCCAACAATCCCCTACACTAGTCAGCATTGCACGTCTTAGTAATCGGTGTTCAGGCACCTGACCCAACCATCTCAGTCGATGAAGATTCATGACCTTATCAACTGATTTACCATCATTCCCTAATACCCTGCGTCTAACCTCACTATTACTTACCCGGTGATCCCAGCAGATGCGAGCAATATTTCTAAGGCATCTGTGGTCAAATACTAGTAACCTACGAGTATCTTCTACTCTTAATGGCCATGTTTCGCAGCCGTAAAGTAGAACAGAGCGAACTGGTGCACAGTATACTCGTCCCTTAGTTGATAGACGGATATCTCGTCTTCGCCATAGGTGACGTAAGTTGGCAAAAGCCAAACGAGCTTTTTGAATCCGTGCTGAGATTTCGTCCTACACCAACCCATTAGAGCTGATCAGACTTCCAAGATAAGTGAAGTTGTCAACGCGTTCGACTACTTCACTCCGTATCCTTAGTTAGAGTGTTGACACAGGCCAGTCCTGGAGTAACAATTTACATTTGGATGGGGGAGAAACGCATCCCAAACATCCTGGCATCATTACTCAGTTCTAACAGAAGACTCTGCATTTTGTCAGCGTCTTCACCAAACAGGACTATGTCATTTGCGAGTCCTAACATACAGTCATCCGATCACAAACAACTTAAAACCTGGCACATATGTACATTGATTCACATTACCACATTATTTCAACACAGCGAGGTGAAGTTACCAAAATAGAGGTTAGAGTAGTGGCATTCGCTACAGCATCAGTGTTCGTAGAAACACGGAGCTTGAACAATGTGACTCCAGAAGAAAGAGCGAATTTGGGAGATATATTTAAGGCACATCATCTATCGTCTCCAACTATTGGCCACGATAGTTGCGAGAACCTCAACTAGGTAGTTAGTACTTATCAATAAGGCTCTATCTAAAAGTCATTGACTACATGGAATTATTTCGCGTCTATGTTTAGCCGCTTCTAGGCTTCTTCTATCCTATACCTACACGAGCAAACACCGTACGTCTAGGTAGGCAGTGGTTGGGTATACGCAATACGTATCCCAACAAACTGTAAATCAACCAAGTATCAGCTGATGAGGTTGAATATGAATCACACTATATCAAATTTATTGTACCTGAACATGTTGACTACTATTTACTGCCTCACTGTTCTAAAGGTATTTTGTTTATCACAAGACGTGCATGTAATGGATTTAACTTAGTATCAAGTTATGAGTGGCAATGCTGAAAAGTTCTAATTAAGTGTACAACAGCTGTCTCCAAATTAAAAGATTCTCTATAAATCACCAGATTAAACAAAAAATTGTGTGTTTATTATTACAGATTTTGAATAGGTAAACAGTCATGTTTACACAGAACTATGAACATGACCCTTACTCTCATTTAATCTATATAATAGTATCATCCCTCTCAATTCATAACTTTTGTCTCCGACTCCTTTTAGAATGATTCTACAAAAGGATGTCTATAAACATAGTAAAATGGACTACCAGGAACTGATACTATAGTAAACGAAGGACTCAGGTAGGGCAAACCATTTCATTAATTAATGCAAAATTACAGAATACTTTAACAAAATATGAAAACCATTTATTAAATACATAATTTACACATCTTTTTGTTTTTCATTACAGGCTTCATGATTCTTTCAATTCTGTTGTCATCGCAACTAATTCCTGTCTCCCTTTCTGTTCTTTTCAACTGAATCTTCTCAATCTTTTGTCGGTACGCATTCCACTTCTGGTGTGTTTGACATAGCACACAACGCTAAAGTTCATCAGACAGTTGAAATTACAATAACTATACGAATTCGATGGAAGCCCCAATCAATCAAGTTACTTTCAACCTAAATATGAATATAAATCCCTATTAATTTACATGCCTGTCTTACAATCCTACACTTTGAATCCCCAATCTCTAGTGTCAGCTGTACATATTTTGGTTGAAATGCCGAAAATTCTAGAAATATAGTTAGCAGACACTGTACGGTACTGTCTAAAATCCAGTATAGTGATCTAGATAAATTCATTGCGTATACTTCTGTAAATGCTTTTATCTTATTACTTGATACTTAACTGGTCTAGATCTAGTCATGTTCTCTCTCTCTATCTTCTAACAATCACCTCGTAGATTTAAACTGATTTCTGTGTTCATGTCTCTCATTTTGACTTTGAATAACATGAGTATGAATATCCTCAAGAAGGTCAACTTCTCCAGAACAACAAACACATTTTGTTAAATAATCCCTAATAATAATAAAAATAAACATAATAGTACAAACTTGTGTTTGAGAATCCACAGTTAAGTAAGGTCTATTGTCTCACAATAATTACGTCATATTATCAGCGCAGCTTCAGATCATTCGCATATGATTGTTAATCCTACTTAATAAGACATCCTTCATGTACAGAAGTTTGGATATAATAGACATATTTGCTTAATTATATATGAAACCCGAAAACCCCATCAAGAAATGTGACCAGAATTTTCAACTATCGAGTTGACATCGAAGCACTTTAATTACGTGAGTTTATGATGAATAAGAAATTTGTGAGAGCGATTCACATGGTAAATAATTACATTAATCTAGTTTACATTTGACTCCTTTCTATATTTTTTGTAATTCCTTCCATGTGTCTGTGGTGTATCCAAATGTAACAACTTGAAGTGGTAAAATTGTGAAATATATATGTTACTTAAACTCATTTGTATTGATTATTTGAATCTTCCCATTGATATATAGAACTGTAATTGATCGATCTCTTTCGAGTCCCAGAGTGAAAATCAACTCTGAGTTTCAGGTACATTGTTGTGTTTGTATAATCTAATGATTCTTTTGTACTTGATGACTGTCTGATTTCGAATTCTAAATACAATACATTCGTTTGTTCTCACCTAGTTCTACTTGTCATAAATTGCGCTATTTAGGGGATTCCTAGTTCTTACAATAATTTAATGCGTACTCTAGGTCATGCAGGTAATTAATTGAGGAGTTGCGATGCAGGTCACGAAGAAGAGCACATGTTTGATAAATGTTTGTTCTGCGGCAAGTTTCACGCATGTAATTTCTGTTTATTTCGTAATGATATATATTTTAAATGTGGTATATATGTGTGTGCTACTGGTATTGACAGATATAAGTAGTGTGTATCAATAATTAAATGTGAAATGTGTGGTGGTAAAAGGTTAATAAGATCGTGGAGAAGAGAATGAAAACAAAAGAGTGATGGGTGTGGAAACGAAAGAACAGTTTAGCCTGAGACAATGTATAAATATTTTTCAAGTGATTCTGAGATTTTACTAAGATATTCTATAATTTTGTGTTCAATAACATTTAGTTGTTCCCGCCTTTGTTCTCGTTCACTACATTATGATTGGATACATTCAGTCAATTTGTAATACTACTGTTCATGTCGCTGCAACTAATGCTAAATTTTTTACTTTCGGTTCTATTAAGTTGAGGGCTTCAAATAATAATTTTTCTTTATCCACGACTTTGGAAAGCAGTATAGAGTCAAATATCAATCCAGAATTGAATGAAACGCATAATCATAGTTAGACAAAAGCTCCTGGTCGATCAACATCTTATCGGATATTTCATGTTATTGTACCAGATATCGTTTGTCCTAACGATTCACATATTTCTGGTGAAATTTCTTATAAATATGAGGAAAATATGTTGAATGAATCAAATCATGATCGAACATCTGATGCAGTTTTGATAGATGCTGATTTTTCTAATGATCCTGATGTGTGGGTGAGAATGATAGTGATTGGTTGTTTGCTAAGTCAGACATGTAGATAGTCTGACAGGCGTTAGATGAATTATGTATTCTCCTATTATTATTATTATTATTATTATTATTATTATTATTATTATTGATATTGTTGGATTGTTGTTGGGTTGTGTCAGCTTGCTGTCAGTTTTCGGTGTGGAAATATATTTACGTTATAGTCAGGCTACTCAAGTATTCTTGATCTGAGTTGTGTTGAGGTCCTGTAGAATGGACATTGGGAGGCAATATAGTGTATATAATCGTCTAAGGCAAATTAACGTTCCATTCGGGTAGACCAGGAAACTCCGACCACTATAACAGAACTGTGGAGATATACCTGACAAACTTATTTTGTAAATAGTTTTTGATGTTAATTGTATTTATTCTGTCAATTTTTCACTGCATGTACATTTATCATTAAATGATTGTACGTGTTGTTTAAGTGTATGACCTTGAACACACTTTCTTCCGTCGTGTTACATTCATAGCATGACACACGCTGTAGATTGCTAACAAATACACTGCAATACACACCTTTTGTTCTCCATGCGCTAGAGATTGTGTTATCCTTACTGGAATCTTCAATCATCTATAATTGTGGATTTTGGTAGCAGACTCAATCGGAACACGGGCAAACCTGCTGAATTATGTAGCGTCCCTAATTTTCGTTGTGATATATATATAACATAAGTATTTGTACTTAATAACTGTGTTATCATTTTTGAATTCATATATTGTTTGGTCCGCCACAGATCCATTATTCTCCAATGACATTCTTAATAAATTTGAGAAAAGTGTTTCAGAAGTATCAAATTTTGATGTCGTATTA